TGTGTGTGTGTGTGTGTGTGTGTGTGTGTGTGTGTGTGTGTGTGTGTATGTGATTTACTTTTTAACTAAACTCCATATAGATGGGAGGACTGTGTCTTCTACTTATTTTATACTCTCAACTTCCTCAGCCTAGTGTGAAGCATTTAGTAGGTGCTCAAAATTGGGTTTACCTTAGGTGATAAGTACTAATGAGAAAGAAAGTCTTCCATTTTAGATGTCTAGGTTGTTCCTCTTCCTAGCTGTCCAAGAACCCTGTGGTCTCTTTCTTGTTGTCCCCTACTTTAACTTGCCCAAACTATGCTTATTCTGAACGTTCTGGGTCACCAAGGAAATCATCCTGGCCCTTGCCTGGTCTCTGCTATCGTCTCTTCACTTAAACTAAGTCTTTTTTTTGTTTTTGTTTTATTTTCGCTTTTTGGTGAGGCAATTGAGGTTAAGTGATTTGCCTAGGGTCACACAGCTAGTAAGTGTCAAGTGTCTGAGACCAGATTTGAACTCAAGTCCTCCTGACTCCAAGGTCAGAGCTCTGTCCGCTGAGCCACCTAGCTGCCCTTTTCCTCTCCACTTAGGCCAAGTATTTGCACACTACACATAATGATGCCACCCTTATTTACAAACAGATTAAGGGGCTGCCTGCCTCCTCCCACTCTTCATAAAGCAATTGATGCACACTAGTACGTTATTCAAACATAATAAAGAATTTGTTGTAATTTTTATATTAAACAAAATATAAAATTAAAAGTATATATAAAATAAGAAATTATAACTATACAGCATTCAGGGTTTTAGAATTATAGATAGATTTAGAGATGGAATTGATCATCAAGGTCATCTGGATCAACTCCCTCATTTTACAGTTGAGGGAACTGAGGCCCAGAGAGGTTAAGGGACTTGCTCAGGGTCACACAGATAGGAAGTGACAGAGCCAGAACTTAAACTCAGTTCCTTTAAATTCAGATACAGTGCTTTTCCCATTATACCGAACTGCCTCCCAAAGGCAAAGGAGAAATCATGATGATGGGCAGGCCTCTCAATCTTTAAACCTCCATGCTACAATGTACTCTAGTACTATAGGGGAAAGACATACATTTGTCGCCCCACATCTGAGTGGCGGGCTTGAGAAAGGCCTCAGCCCTCTACTGTGCCTCTGTTTGACCCAGTTCCCTGGGAATCTCTTTCATCATTGGGGGATGAGACTTGAGGCCAGAGAGGGAGCCTCAAGAAAGCTACCTTGTTCAGGCCGAGGGGCCTGAAGAACAGTGACAATCCCCTGCCCTGTCTGCCAAGAAACCTCCAAATTCGATGTCTACAGAGGGCAGTATGAACTCTGGCCATTTTTGCTCCAAGATGGGCTGATGGGGGGACACATTTTATATTTCTGGGGCACAATCCTTCTATGAGCTCCCATTGCCTTCTGCATCAAAATCTCCATTTTTCTTGTTTTTATTGATTTTGTTTTCTTTGAAAAAACAAAAACTGAAGGAATATTTGTGGCCATTATGCTTGAAAATGGCCGAATTTTTTGGCCATTGCTTTGTGCTCCCCAAAGCTTTGGGGGTACACCCTATAATTGGAAAACTCTAGCTTAGGTAGAAGCTTTGTTCTTGATTGAATACCCCTAAAAAAGCTCATAGGCACTTTTCTTCTCTTTGGCACTGGATATCGTTTTAGAAGGCTATCTTGTGTACTTCTTTTTCAGTATTTGATATTGTGAGGAACTACACTGCAGATTATGATAAGACTTTAATCTTCAATAAAATACATCATGAATTGAACCAGTTTTGCAGTGCCCACACTCTTCAGGAAGTTTACATTGAATTGTTTGGTGAGTGCTGATACCAAATTATGTTGTCTTTATAGATGCTTTTAAAGTAAAAATTTACTAAATGTGTTTTATTGAGAGCAATGTTCTTAAACTTATAAAAATAACTATGTCTTTGAAAGTAATACTGTTAAACTACTCTAAATGGTTAACATGATTTGAAGTTAAATTTTTTTATTGTAAGTTTAGATTTTAAATACTTTAGGGGAAAGTCATTTTAAGGACAGATCTGAACTCATGGTGTATGATTAAGTAGAGATTGGGTAAATTTTATCTACTTGTAGATTCTTTATACTTTGACCTCTCTTCTTAGTGAAACAGATATCTGGGAGTCAGCAGGGGTATTAATTCTGCAGTCTCTGGTTTGAATAGATTAGTGTTCTTGAAGTTTGAGTAGAATGTTTTCTTTGGATAAATTAGGTCCTTAAAGTGAGGAGTTACTTCTTTTTTTCCTGAAGACTCAAAATCATTTTGGAGTAGGAGGAAATTGACAGTGAAATCTTTCATTAGTGAAGGATGTGCCAGATTTTGGTGATTGCCATGTAGGCAACAGTTGGCTAGGATATCTGCCAGGTAGAACACTGAGAATTGGGAACTATCACTTGATTCAAATCTACTGACTAAGACTCCGTGGTATAGAGCTGATTTCACTTGACCTTACAGGGATGGAGCAGTTTGGTATTTCCAAGTTAACCTAAGATTGGTGAACACGCTAATCTGGTAATAGAGAAAACATGATGTGAATTTGTGGGTGTTAGATATATTGGAGAGGAAACTATTTAAAAGCTTTCCTGTGGACCTGTATACCAAATCAAAATGAGGCTGACAGTGGTAGAAAAGTGATATATTATTATATCTTGTGGAAAAGAGGCATATGATTATTGGAGTAATGTCAAGTTTGACTTGATGCAGATTTTTATATATTAGTGTTCAGATTAGTGAAATTTATGACTTCATAGACCAAAGACTTAAATTCTCTACCAATTGAGTAATTTGGAGCAACTTGTTTAACCACTCACTTCCTTGATGTGATAATCCCTGCCACTTTTCCCACCACAGAAAACTATATTACAAACATAGAATCATAGATTTCAGTCTAGAACCATCTAGTCCTAGCCCCTCATTTTGCAAATGAAGATGCTAAACTCTAGAGAGGTGAAGTGGCTTCCTCACCATTACCTGGTCATTAAGTTAGCAGAGCCAGGATTTGAAGCCACGTCTGCTAAACCTAGTGCTCCTTTGCTCCATAACATTACTTCTTTAAGAAGAATTTTGAGCTTCACGAAAGGATCTAACTATCGAAAGTCCAGGATTGATCATGATAGTTTTGTTTGAATTTTAGTAGAATAGTAAAAGTTTTATGTGTTAAAACACCTGCTGTTTTCTTGCTTCCAAAACCAGATCAGATAGATGAAAACTTGAAGCAGGCCCTACAGAAAGATCTGAACGTCATGGCACCTGGTCTCACTATACAGGTAGGCCCAATATCTTGGGAGGTTTTGAGGAATTTAAGATTCTGAATTCAGGTCTCATTCAGATTCTGAATTCAGGTCTCATTCGTCCCACAAATTTTATTAGAGAGTGGTAATGAAATGTTAGGTCCTCCCTAATAAAGATTTTGATGACTTTATGACTCATCACATTTAAAAATTATTATTGCTTACTTTAACTAGCATCCATTCCCTTTGAGTGCTTTTAAAAGGAAAAAGTAAGCAAGCTGAATCTTATTAAAGAAGTCAAGTCTGCACTCATATATTGCTTTCCAAGATAGTTTCATTCATTTCAGTTCTATCTGGGATCTGGCTCTTATAAAAATAATTATATGAGGGGGCAGCTAAGTGGCGCCTTGGAGTCAGGAGGATCTGAGTTCAAATTTGATCTGAGACCAGACACTTGATACTTACTAGCTGTGTGACCCTGGGCAAGTAACTTAACCCCAATTGCCTCACAAAAAAAAGGGGGGGGAGGGCAGCTAGATGGCGCAGTGGATAGAGCACCAGCCCTGGATTCAGGAGGACCTGAGTTCAAATCTGACCTCAGACACATAGCACTTACTAGTTGTGTGACCCTGGGCAAGTCACTTAACCCCGTTGCCTCTCTTTAAAAAAAAAATCATTATGTGCCTTGATGTAATAATCATTCATTGGGACTGTATACCCTATTTATTTATTAGAGAGGAAAAAAAGACCTCCCTATTTAAAGATATTTATAATATTACTACAAATATTAATACTATAAAGATATTTATAATAATACTACAACCTGAATGTCTAACAACGAGGACATCAGTATGTTGAAACATATTAATTCAATGCAGTTGTAGAAGATAAATATGAATATTGAAATATTGAAAGACTTGTGTGAAGTCTGTGTGAAAGAAGTGGAACCAGTTGAGTGTGCATGCACACGTGCGTATGCGTGCTCGTGCACACACATGCGTGAAGACTGTGATTGTGTAAAAGGAAAAAATGTATACTTATGTAGGGGCAAATGAATAGAAGCAGTGGAGAAAGGGATGGGGAAGTAATCAATATGATGTTACAAATGTTTTTATGGTGGAATTAATCTAGAAAGTATAAGTAAAGTAAGTAAAAGGTTGTTTTGTTGTTGTTTTAGGTCATTGTCTTAGGCAATTATTTTAAACAAAAAAACACATGAAATATTTATCAACTGTCTATATATAAGCCAAAGTACCATACTGTGCATTTATTTGGGTCACAAAGGAAGTATGACCTATGATCCCTGCTTTCAGGAAACTTATATTCTAGTTTGAAAGACCAGACATAAAGGTCTGAAGATGAATTAGAATAAAAAGTTCAATAATAGGTCCCAGCAACAACAGATGATTTGACAAGGCCTGAATTGCCAAGGGCCTCATATAATCTGTTGTTGCTGTGAATGCTCAAAAGTGGAGGAAATGCTTTAGCCTGGTGCAGTTGAGGGGCTTTGTGGAGGTGGGGTTTCAGATGAGACTTGGTAGAGGAGTGGCACGTGGATGGGCCGAAAAGACTGGGGAAAAGAACATCTGAGGAAGTCAGCATGTGGAAAACCAGGAAGGCTGAAAAGTCTCTATCTAGTAGAGAGACTATAGGATTCATGTCAAAAGAGCTGGGCTTGGTTCCCCACCAGGCTGCTTGCCTACCACCTTGTCATTGTGAAGGAGTTACTTCACCTCTCTGGACTTGAGCTTCTTCTACCATAAAGTCAAGGGTTGGCTTGTGATGTTTGCTGAGGTGCCTCTTGTACCTCTGTATCCTGGAATCCTAGGGTCAGGCTTGGCGGTCTCTCATGAGTGGGTTTGTGTCATGAGGTAGTGAAAGATAATCTAGAAGGGTAGACTGAAGCCAGCTTGGAGAAGACAGCCCACACCATTTTGAATAGCTGTCATTGTTGGGAAATTTGTTATTAAGGTTGAGCCAAAATCTGCCTCCTTGAGGCCAAACAGAACAAGTTAACTTGACCTTAACAGTCTAACTTCAGTTGTGTGAAGATTGTTGTCACTGTCTCTTTTCTGTCTCTGGTTCCTTTTCTACCTGATCCTTGAATGTGACATGCTTTTATGTGGAGGATTTTTGAGTAGAGGAGTACCAGTCATGGTGGTATTTTTGGGAAAGTAGTTTGCCTTGAGTGTGTAGGATGACTATTAGAGTCAAGGAGAGATTAAAGGCAGTAGATGCCTGTTAGGTTATTGAAGTAGCCCAAGATAAGGGTCTAAATTGGGGTGAGCAGGTGATGTGGTCAGATCTATATGCTTTAGCAAAGTCACCATGACAGCTGAGTGGAGGATGAAATTGGCATGGGGAGAAAGGAGAAGCAGGGAGACCAAATAGAAGATTATTCAGTAGCCTCGTCAAGAGGTGAAGAGGGCTTGCGTTAGAGCTATGGCTATATGAGTGGAAAGAAGGGGACTTCTCAGAGATGTTGGGAAGGTAGAAATGACAAGATTTGGTGACAATATGTGGGGTGAGGGAGAAGTCAAGGGGGACGCTGAGGTTTAGGTCTTGGTGACTGGGAGGATGGCAGTGCTCTTGACAGTAATAGAGAAATTCAGAATGGGGGGAGATTTGGGGGGAAAAGATAACGATTTCTGTGATGGGGTTTTCCAATAACTTATCTCCAAGAAATACAGTGTACTCTTATGGTCTTTTGCCAACCCTATAAAACCAGGGGTTCTTAACCTTTTTTGTTTCCTGGACCCTTTTGGCAGTCTGGTGAAACCCATAGACCCCTATCAGATTATCAGAATAATATTTTTCAATGTGTAAAATTATCAGAATAAGTTTTAAGTGCATAAAATAAAATAGAAAAGACTACGAAGGAAACTAATTATATTGAAATACAGTTAACAAAATACTAAAACAAAACAACAACAAAAGAAATTCCTGGCATCCCTTCTCCCTCCAGGTAAGAACCCATGCTCTAAACTAGGGGTGAAGAACCTGTGGCCTCAAGGCCACATGTCACCTTCCAGGTCCTTGGGGGTGACTTTTTGATTGAGTACAAGTTTTACAAAACAAATCCTTTTATTAAGGGGATTTGTTCTGTGAAGTTTGGATTCAGTCAAAGGGCTGCACTTGAGGATCTAGCGGGCCTTTAGGCTGTAGGTTCCCCACCCCTGCAACATTGTTTCATGGCATGGGCATTTCATCCTGATGCCTTTATCTTGGATGACTCCTGATGAACAATTGTTTGTTTTTTGTTTTTTTGTTTTTTGGCTAGGCAATGGGGTTAAGTGACTTGCCCAGGGTCTCACAGCTAGTATTAAGTATCTGAGGCTGGATTTGAGCTCAGGTCCTCCTGACTCCAAGACCAGGCTCTATCCACTGTTGCCCTGACAATTGGTTTTTAAAAACAGAACCAAAAAACCCCCAAAAAACACTGTCCAAAGAAGTCTCAACAGGAATTTGAGCAACAGTTAACATCTTAGGAAAAGAGACTAGCTTACTATGAACTTGTGTTGGACCTGGAGTAAGGGAGACTTCAGTTCAAATTCAGCCTTAGATACTCACTAGCTGTGTGAACCCTGGGCAAGTCACCTAACCTCTGCCTCAGTTTTCTCATCTATAAAATGGAGATGATAATAGTACCTATCTCCCAGGGTTGTTGTAAGGATCAAATGAGATAATATTTGTAAAGCACTTTTCAAACTTTAAAGGACTATACAAATGCCAGCTATTATTGTTAAGATACATTCAAGCAATTGGAACTTCCCCCTCTAATGAGGAAGAAGAAACTCATGGCCTTTTAGAACCTTCATGTCCTCAAAGGGTGTGGGGAGAGTTAAGTGAGAACAAGAGAGTCCTGGGGGAAGCTGAGTTTGTTCTGAAAAAGGGACGGGAAGGGAAGAAGGGAATGGAAATTCATGAGTGTTGTAGAAAGGAGTTAGAAGGGTGGGCTGGGGCCGAGGGCACATGCTAATTCTAATAACGTGGGGTGAGTGAGAAGAGACGAGGATACAGACATGGGGGAAGGGGAGAGAGAAATGGGTACCAGATGAACCTTACTCTTCTCTGAAATGAACAAAGGAGAGCTGGGGTCACACATGGTTTCATGTAGAGGTACAACAAGTTCAGCAGGGCAGTAGGAGGTGGGGGGTGGTGAAGAGGTGGGCTAAAATCAGGAAGGGAATTGTTGAAAGCAAAACAGTCTCCCTAATCAAGTAGATGGAGGAAGAGAGGAGAGGAGAGGAGAGGAGAGTAGAGGAGGGTGATCTGGAAGCCGAGGAGGGTACAATAAATTGTGGTATGTGAATGTAATGGAATATTACTACACCACAAGAATTAACAGAAGAGATGATTTCAGAGAATCAGGTTAGTATGAACTGACCTTGAGTAAAATGTGCAGAACCAGAACATTCTATACAAGGACAGGACACTGTAAAGAAAAACAACTGTGAAAGACTGAGGAACTCTGATCAGTGTAGTAACCAACCACTGACTCCAGAGAACTGATGATGAAGCATGCTGCCCACCCTGACAGAGAGGGGATGCTCTCAAGATTGAGAAAGAGATATATGTTTTTGGACATGGCCACTGTGTGGATTCATTTTGCTTGACTTTGCTAATTTATTATGAGTTTTTTTTTCCTCTTTTTTCTCAGGTTTGAATTGGGGCTGAGGGATTTTTGGTGAAAATGAGAGGAAGGGGGCCTAGCAACTGTAATGCCAAAACCAAAGTTACCACGTAACCTAAGACTGTGCACTGAAGGTGTTTCATATTCTTATTATTTAGGTGCCAAACCTCCTAAATCTACTGAAATTACTGATATCTGAAAAACTTCACGTTATTCATTTAGTTGTGGAAAATCCATTTTTTTTTCTTTGTCTGCTTGCAGTTCTTACAGTAAGAATTACTCTTTCATTTTTGTGTTATCTTTAGGTTCACAATGATTTTTGATACTGGTTGGTGTTTTCTTTGATTATCTTTGACTGTCTCTCTAGCTTCAGTTTATGAAATGGGGCCTTGTGTCAGGGGCAGGCTCTACCCACTAATGCACCTTTGGGTGGAATGCTGGGTCTGCTGGCTTTGTGCATGACCTCCATCTCTGGGGGCTGGGCTACTCCTTTGATCTTTGAGGTTCAGAGTGCTGGATCTGCAGGACTCTCTTTGATATTTCATATTTTTAGGAACCTTCAATCTTCTAGACCTGGACTCTTCTTCCCCATTAAATCGTGAGCTCCTCGAGGACAGGGACATCTTTTGCTTCTTTTTGTATCCCCAGCATTTACCATAATGCCTGGCACATAGTAGGTGCTTAATCAGTGTTTATTGACTGACTCTTCTGTGTCTGAGCACTGTAGTGTCATGCTGGCTGCCGCCCATTGTACTGCTCTCTAGCACTTTCATGGTCTCCACCATAGTGCTTTGTGACCACCCTGGGGCTTTTTCATGGGAGCCCTCTACTTTTGTTGCCTCTGGACACAGAGCCTTGCAGACTCCACATGTCCCTGGACATCTCTGGATGTGTCAAGAGGCTGCCATTTGCTGGCACTAGCTTTGCTGGTGGGCCTTTCCTCTCCTATCATCCTTGTGCCTTCTGACTGTGTTTTTTGGGTGTTGTATGGGGGGAAAAGTCACCATAGTTTCTCATTGGATTTCTTGATCCTTATTCTGACTGGTGTGAATTCCTGGGTTTTTCTGGCATGGGTTTCTCTGTGCAGACAGCTTTCTCAATGAAAGTGTCCTAACTCTAGGTGTTATTACAGGTGAGGATGCTGAAGTTCAGAAAGGCTGAGGGACTTCTTCCCATCTTTATTTACTTAGCCATTGTCAGAGGTGAGATTGAAACCCACTGCTTCCTGCTTCCATATCCAGTGCTCTCCTGTGCCACATTGTCTCAGTTATATTACATAAATATACTTGGAAGGGGACATAAGCAGCCGAGAGGAACAGAAAAGGTCTCATGCAGGCAATGGCCCTGAGCTCAGAAAGAGGTGTCCGTGAGATGTAGAGGAGAGGAAGGTCCATTCCAGGCATGGGGGATACCTGGGTCAGAGTACAGATGTGGGAAATTTGGAATGTTGTATGAGGGGCAACAATAGCCAGATGTGGCCAGACCAAAGAGTGCATGAAAGTGAGTGATATGTAGGGCTTTCCATGCCAATCAGAGGAGATCGCATTTGATCCTAGCAGCAGTCTGGAGCCAAGGGAGTTTATTGAGCAGGAGTGCAACATGATCAGATATAGGCTTTTTGAATATTATGTTGACATTTGTGTAAAGGATGGCTTGGAAGGGAGAGGCTTGGTGCAGGGAGTCCAATTGGACTACTTCAGTGGTTCAGCGAGAGGCGATGATCTCTGGGCCCGAGTGATGGCTTGGCTGGCAGATAGAAAGGGGTGGATGTGGATGTTACTGCAGAGGTAGAATTGACAAGATTTGGCAGCTGTTTGAGCTGTTGTAGTTGTCGGTTGGTCAAAGAGGACCATGGATGCCGTGACATGCAAATGAATTGGATTTAAGCATGGGAGGGCGTGCAAAGATGCCAGCCTCCCTTTCTCCTCTACAGCCCTCTGGGTCCAGTGGCCAGACCAGGATAACTGGAGATGGCCCAGGATGCAGTGGGAGACCTTGGCTTTTTTAAGCTCAGGTCTTTAACAGGTCCCAGCCTGACTGAGGCAACACCCATTCATTGATTATTGGTGTGGAGGAGAGTGAAAAGTCAAATAACTCTGAGGCTATGAACCTGGGTGAATAGGAGGGTGGTAGTACCCTTGACAAAGGTAGGTAAATGAGGTGTTAGAGGTGCCTTTTTGGGGGAGGATAGTGAGTTGTTTTGGATATGTTGAGTTTGAGGTGCCTGCAATGTATCCACGTTGAAATTTCCAATAGGTGTTTGGTAGTGTTGGACTGAAGTACAGGTAGGAAAATAAAGATTGGTTGTATAGATCCTGGGAGTTATCTGCATAGAGATAATTAAATCTATAGGAGCTGATGAAGTCACTGAGAGACAATGTAGAGAAAAGAGGTCCAACCTCACAGTGAGGGGGCTAGACAGGGAGGAAAATCCAGCAAAGGTCACTGAGATGAAGGTGCAATGAGAACCAAGAAAGAGCAGTATTCTGAAAACCCAGAGAAGATATATCTAAGGGGAGAAGCTGCTTAACAGTGTTGAAGAGAGGTCAAGGAGCAGGACTGGAAAAATACTGTATTTGACAGTGAAGAGATCTTTGCTAACTTTTGATTGAGAAGTAAATGAGAGGAGAGAAAGTAGGGGTAATGAGAGTAAACAGTTTTCTTTAGGAGTTTGGTTGTGAAAGGGAGGAAGAAGAAATTAGCCCCTGGGTTTTGTGGGTTTCCGTTGAGTTCAGCAAGGGTTTTTTTTTTGTTTTGTTTTTAAAGGGAAAGGAGGCCTAGGCATATTTTTAAACGAGGAGGAAGGAGCCATTAGATAAGGAGAGACTGAAGATTAGGGTGTGGTTAGGATCAATAGTACAAGTAGAAAGTTTAGTGTTGGCAAGGAAAAAGACCAGAAAAAGACCTTCAGTATCTTGGGGAGATCCTTCATGGACTATTTCTGGAATGATTTGGACAAGAATTACTTAGGGATAAGAAGACATGAAAGAGGCAGTGTGGCTTAGTGTCATTAGCATTTAATAAGTGCCTTCTTCCCGAAGGCGCTCTGCTAAAAATTGGGGAGTCAAAGAAAGACCAAAAAGAAACCGTAGAACAAAAGACAGTCCCTACTCTCAAGGATCTCCCAGTCTAATGGGGGAAGCAACATATAAGCAACTATGAACAAACAAGATATATACAGGACAACCTGGAAATAATCAGCATAAGGAAGGCACTAGCATGAAGGGGGATTGGGAAGGCTTTTTGTAGAAGGTGGGATTTTAGTGGTTGGAGAGCTTCCTTCCCAGCCAGAAAGAACTGAGTTCAAGTCTGCCACCACACATACTTTGTGACTATGGACAACATATTTAATCTCTCAGTGCTTGAGGCAACTCTCTAAGCTTGTATATTACAGAGCAGTTGCAGATCTGCGTTGGCAGAGGAAGTTTCCTCACTGGGAGTTCCTAACACCGGTGAAAGTACAGGTTTGGTTAAAAAATACAAAAGTCACTGTAAGGTTGCAATGCGTAGTAGTAGAGGTAGTGTCTAGTTTGAAATCATGAAACCATCAGAGTAAATATGACAACAGAGCCTAATGCAAAGACAAAGTAGTAGAATGTTTTGTAGTTTGTTTAAGAGCATTAGAATGTGATTAGCACCTAAAGATTTAATTGTTTCATGTAGTGATTAAAGTAGGGCCGTCATTTAGAAACTTAACATTTTGCCCTTTGGACTGAAGTTTTTGTCTGTTTCTTTAGGAAACTCTAAAATTTCTTCATTTTTTAATGGTTTAGCTACAAAGAAAAATTTATGACTTTTCTGCTTTTAAGTACTTGGTAAACTAGAGCCCTAAAAGTGACACTTTCTGGGTAAATTCTAGTCTTTGTTAATGCAAGTGGTCAATGATGATGGTCAAAAGAAATGGTAGAATGTCTACAGGTTTTGTTAGATCGACTGTGCCCTATGTAAAACTAAATAACATAGAGAAGGTGATGTTCTTAGCTGTTAGAAGGTAGATAATAATAAATTAATAAATGACAAATGAAAAGGCATTAAGTGCCTACTATATGCCTCGCAAGCACTTGCTAAGTATTGGGAATACAAATAGGAAAAGCTAGACACTCCCTGCTGACAAGTAGCCCCCAGTCTAATTGGAGGAGGTAACGCATAATAGAAATTTAGCTGCAAGGTGAATGGAAAAGCCTTATAGTCCCAAGGGTGAATTGGTAGGTCACATGGTAGAAGTCACAGGGGTCCTTCAGTTATTTCAGTAAGATCAGATATTAGTGCTAGAGGTCTACAGGGTTGTGTAGGCAGGGCAGATGGTACGGCCTGGTGGTCCTCCAGCTTATCGGAAGGAATAGAGTTAGTGACACCCATCTCCAAACCATCTGAGCATTCAGACAGTCCAGATGAATTCTGGGATAGCCTGGACCCAGAGGAGAGAAGGGCGTCGCTATTTGTGGCATGTCTTGCTGCTGCCTGGCTATCTTGGATAAGTTATCTTTCAGTCATTCAGCTATACATCTATTATCCATGGTTCAGGTTGGGGGACAGAGAAATACATTCATTGTCAAATCTTTAATTGCACTAAATGACCAGAATTGGATTAATAGTTCTATTTCAACCTCCCCAATGTTTGATTTGTAGTATTTTGAATTTTTGTAAGGTAGGCAGAAAATCAAAGGTATCAAATTGGAGATCAGTACTATTTTGTGGAGAAAGTAGGGAACTTTGTTTTTCAGGCTGGGTGGAGTAATGCTTCCTCAGAACTGCTTGACTTTAGGATAAGATAGGACAAAACTTTCTTCTTTGAGTAGCATCGTGGAATACAAATTGTATCTTGCATGTTTGTTAGTTAAATTAAATGTAGTTATGTAGTAATGGTGTTAGTACACTATATCTAACATTCCCTTGATTATCCAAGACACACCTTGGGTGGTTGGTGACAATCTGAGTTAGGGCTTGACGTGCTGGCAGCGTTTATTTCTTTGAGTCTACCTGTTATTGCCATGTCACTTACTGTGCATGATCGTTGTTCATATGAAATTAAGTGCTCCCCATAATGTTTCACCTAACATTTTGTTTTTGCTAAACTAGTTAACAAACAATGTTTGGTAGGGTGTGCCTGTATAGAGTTTTCCAGTAGACTCTCCTCTTTGCTATTGCTAGGTGTCAGAATTAATTGTGATATATTCGTAAACACTTCAAGGCTGCAAAGCTGTCAATTTAAAGATATATTTAGATATATTTTTAAAACATACTTTGGCTTTTTTTCTTAATAGGCTGTGCGTGTTACAAAACCCAAAATTCCAGAAGCCATAAGAAGAAATTTTGAGCTAATGTGAGTAATGTTCACGAGATCACGTTGTTTCCATACAGGGTTGTCTGAAGACCAGTGCCAGTAGTTTAGAGAAGATTTAAGCATTAAACTGTACCCAGCAGTTGGGGGAGGGAGCAGCAGAACGTGTGTGCCTTTGTTTCTTTATTAGTTTCGTATGTGTTATAGACACCTTCAAAAAATTTTGTCACTAGGGCAATGTTGCTTTAGTTTCTGTTTTTCTTATAAAGTATTTTCTCTTCTTTCATTTTGGAACATGGTTTATGTTTTTGTTTTTAATAGCCTTTTGAAATGTATACCATCCTATAACCCATTTTCTTAACCTGAACCACATAAGAAAAGACTGAAGTAGCAATCTAGCGTCCTCTCAGGAGAGTGGGTATGTGATCTTGGCCCAGCACCATTGTTGGAAGCCTAGAATAGGGACTTGAGCAAAGCCATCAATAGAATCTAGTGACATAAAAGAATCTGTCATCCATGTAAGCTCTCAAATCCTCTTCCTTTATTGTTTTGATTATAGTGGACGCATGATTGACCTGAAGTTTGGATATTTGTTGTGTGCAGTTGTACATTTGTAGAGATATTAGAATCTTTCCAGGGGAAGCTCTTACTTGAGTAGTCTTTTTTCTGAAGATAGTCCGCCTGGTTTGTGTCTTGGGCTTGGCTAGAGATTTTGGGGTGTAGGGTAGAGATAATGGGTAACTTGGCATGTCCAAAACTGAATTATCTTTTCCTGAAATCCCTCCCCTCTTCCTAACTTATCTACTATTTTTGAAGGTACCACTATACTTCTAGTGACCCAGGCTCACAACCTAATAAGGAGTAATCCTCCACTCCTCACTCCTTAGCTGCCAAATCCTGACATTGTTACCTGACTCTATTTATCATCATTTAGCTTATATTTTGTTTACCAGAACATTATGAATAAAGTTGTTAGATTCCTTGCTGAGCTTGAGATAATATGCTATACTCTCTGGTTTATCAGTCTTGTACTAATTAGGAAAAATAATGGAGATTACTTTGGCTCCATTTTCTGTTGCTGTGCCACAAGCACACCAAGCTTATGGTGCCTTCAAAGAGGCTGATCCTTTAGGCCTTGGTGACCACATGCCTGTGTCCTTCTCTATAATTCAGGTAATCTGTTGTTGCCAGACTGATCTGTACTGCTCTAATCATGTCATTCCATTGTACAAAATCTTTCACTGACTTACTTCTCAGTGCTAATAGAACAATGGCTAACATCCTTTATTTGGAGATTAAGGCTCTCTGTAACCGGGTTCCATCTTTTCTTTCTACTTTCTACGTAATGCTGCTTGTTCAGCATTTCAGCATATTTTTTCTTGATGGGGTCGGGGTAGTTACTGGATCAGGAGAGAGGAGACAGGATCGGTCATTCAGTCAGAATCAGAGTTGAGACCAACAGTTGGGTTTGTATTTCCGCAACCTAATCCTTACTTTGCTGTCTTAGCTTGTCCAACCCCTTGTTTTAGGAGAGATGTGAAGCAAAGGATCCATAGATGTCAGGAGTTTTCTTCTCCAGATCAGATATGTGTGTGTGTCTGTGTGTGTCTGTGTGTGATTTCCCCCATAAAAATGGTGCTACTACATTGCTACATTTTGACTTAGAAAATTCGATAACTTTAAAAATTGAATTCCTTAACAGATGTTCAATGTTGTTAAATGAATATATTGAAATTGTGGAAATAGAAAAAAGCAATTTGAATGAGAAACATTTAGGGTTAATCATTTTATTTTATTTTATTTATTTATTTCTCTGTGTGTGTGTGTGTGTGTGTGTGTGTGTGTGTGTGTGTGGCAATTGAGGTTAAGTGACTTTCCCAGAGTCACACAGCTAGTGAGTATTATGTGTCTGAGGCCAGATTTGAACTCAGGTCCTCCTGACTCTAGGGCCAGTGCTCTAGCCACTGTGTGCCATCTAGCTGCCCCACAGGGTTAACCATTTTAGAACTTATTTTTTGAATGCTGGCTTTGCTGTGGCTAGACTCTGCCACTGATCACTTAGGAGACATTGGTCAAATCACTGTTCGTCTCTTTGGGCCTTGGTTTGGTCATATATTTCTCTATGCCTGAAAAGCCTTTCCCTTTCTTTTTCACTTATTGAAATCCTGTTAAGGCCCAATTCACATTTCACCTTCTCCATGAAACATGAATCCTTCCTTGTCTATCTTACCTTGCTGTGGTTTCTTCCTCTGAACCCTTAAGATTTGAAAAAAAATAATTTTTTATATTTTATTTTTCTATTACATTCATTTCCCCACACAGTTCTTTTTTTAAACAAAGATTTTAAAAGAAAAAAACCATGTTCATAATATCCCCACTCCCTTTCGCCCTCCTTACTTTCAGTGAAGGGAAGAAAGTATGTTTTCTCTAGTCTAGGGCCATCTCTGTTCAATATAATTACAATATTCAGGGGGTTTTTTTTGTTGTTGTTCCTTCCATTTACATTCACGTAGTCATTGTGCATTGTTTTCCTGGTTTCTTCACTCTGCATCTGTTCATATAAGTTTTCCCCTACTTCTATGAATTCTTCATATTTGTCATTTCTTATGGTACCTCTGAACTCTGAGAGCACTTAGTATCTGTACATTTGGTGCTCCTGAGAAACAGATTTATGAGGCATTACCTTTCTATGTATACATGTCCTTACCATAATAGAAAGTTCTGTTGCATGTTTTAGGCTCCCATAGAAATATAGACTCAGGGGCAAGATACTTAAAAAAGCTTGTTGGGTTGAATTGTTATTTATTATACTTTGCATTTCCAACACTAGCAAAGTGCCTTGCACATAGTAGGTGTATAGTAAATGTTTGACTGATGATGATCATGCTCTTAAAAGAAAATTCTTTGATTCTATATTACTCCTTGATTGAGAGTTTAGAAAGCTTCTAGTTTGTCCCAGTCGACCGTAGAGTCTCTTCTTAGCCTCAATAGTCAAATGGCTAATCAGAAATCACTAGATTCGCTGTGGGCTACTTATTTCTGTTGGTAAGGTTCCCAAATAGACTGACACACCTGTTGTCCCAGCATAAACCAAGAGATAGAACTAGAGGAAACTCTAGTTTCCCAGGGAATCATGATGATAGTGATAATTTTGTTTTTGGTTTGAACCTGAGATTTCATTGGTGTAAAGAACTTGCAGTCTGTACATTCCCTTCACTGATATAGCCTAGCAACTCACCTGTAATGTATAGTTTCAGAGAAGGTTAAGTGATTTATTTACTAACAGTCACATAGATAATGCTTTGGAGGCAGAATTTGAACCTCATGACTTCTTGACCCTTTGTCTACTTTGTCATGGTGCTTATGATAACAATTAGCAACAGTAACTATAATTTAGATACTTCTTTTAAGATTTACAAAGCATTTCTATCACAACAAACCTGTGAGATATGTAGTACAAGTAATATTTCCATTTTACAGATTTGGAAAGTGAGGGGTAGTGAGGTTAAGTGAATTGTCAATGGTCACATAGCTTGTATGTAGCAAGGACAACTGCTGCAACAGACTTAACCTCCCTAGAGCTCAGATTTTTCATCTGTACAATGAGAGTGTCGGAATAGGTGATCTCTTGGGTTCCTTCAAACTCTAGCAGATTGCTTTATGTATATTTATTTCTGTACAAATCCTATTTCCTTTTAGCAGATTGTGGTAACATTGAAGGTAGGGGCTATCCTATATATCTTTGCATCTCTCAGTGTATAATACATGTGTTTGTAACAAAGTGAATGCTTAGTAAATATTGAGCAAGGTGGAGTGGTCAGGACAAACCTAGCTTTAAATCCGGTTTCCAACGTTAATTTAGGGCAGGCCTGCACAACCTGCAGCTGCTTGTGGCCAGGCATGCCAAAGGGTTTTGGGTGGCGGTGAAAAATGTAGAGGATGTTCTCCTCTACATTTTTTGCTGGGCTCTCAAAATCCTTTGGCATGTGGCAAGCGTACCACAGTCCATAAAGGCCTTATTTAGGCTATGGTCTTGTACAAGTCATTTAACATCTCTGAGCCTCAGTTTTATCTTCTGTAAAATAAGGTTTCTAATATTTATATGACTTAATTCACAAAGTGGTTGTAAAGAAAACAGATTTTAAACTTTTAACTGCTATATCATAGGTTCTTTGGAATTGTAGTTGGTCATTGCATTGATCTGAGTTTTACTACTAATAATCTGCGAATTGTTAAATTGAATGTTCAGTCATGAAGATGAGTAAGGAAGGATTAGAATTATTGCTTGTGGAAAATAGTGTCATGTTAACAGATGACCTAGAGAAAGTATAGTTACCCTGCTTCTGTTTTGCCTCTATTCATCAAGAAGCAAATAGAATAGGGAGAATGGAAACCTAAGATGGGTGAGAAGATAGTAAAAAAGTACCTAACATCTTTAAGTGAGTTTAAATCTACAGGCCCGGACTAATTAAATCCCATCTGACTGAATCTGCAAAGTATGAATTGTCAAAGAATTGGAGTCCAAGGCAACATAATAATAAAGGCTGCGGTAGAGAGACAAAGTGCTGTTGAGGGGCCAGTGGAGGAGAGTTTGCAGCTAATTGGGTGGAGAGGCAGAGTAGACTAAGGAAAGGCAGAGAAGGAGCTGCTGTTTGTTGGACCTTGAAGAATGAGTTTTTTCAATCTCAGCTTTTTCTATCGTTAACCTTCCTGACATCTTGGAGGATTCCCACCATCAAATATCACTTTGGTTTTTCCATATGTGCTATAGATCAGAACTGTGGGAAATCCTGAAACTGTGATGACTGGGGCTACTACAGATTTATGCCGGCTAATATCAGCTGGGGCCTTCACTACAGCAAAGCAGCTTTCCTCTTCCTGCTCCCTAGTTGATTCTCTGTCACACTCACCACACCAGCTATTCGATACGTTTTCTTCTCAAGCCTCTCATACCCATTCACTCCCTGCACTTCCCACATCCTCACTCCTGAAGACCTTACCTTATACTTCAAAAAACTTCAGTCCATTCCCCGAGAGCCCTG